AAGAGAGGGCATGAGCGTGGGAGGTGAGGCTGGGGAGGACAAAGCCGGCTGCGGGGAGGCTGAGCGAGAGATCCAAGCAGGAAAGCCTAGTTGGGGGACGGGGGAGCAGGAGGCGGGGCTGGCGCGTGAGTGTGGACTCCGTGTAGTAGGAGGGGCTGGGGGGGTAGGCGGGGCCAGGCTGCTCAGCGCCAGACCCCCAGGAGATGGTGTTTACACTTGTTTAGGGCAATGGTCTCAAGCGCCGGAAGTCCTGTGTTTACACCCGCTCTCTGAGGATACTGCTCAGGGGAATATAGTACAAGGCGGATGGGGGGTTGTCAGAGTGGTCCAAATGGGGTATCCAGGAGAGCCCCATGTGGTGACAGTCTGGTGGAAAGTTCAGGATGATTGCAAAAGGCATGGGGGGCGCTATAGGACTTTCAGCCTGACAAATGCAGAGGATAAGGCAAAGGCAGGCCCAGGGACAAAAGTGAGGTCCCCAAACTGGATGACCTTGTAGCCGGGGTGCTGTTAGGTGAATAAGGACGTCATCCAGAGCTGGTTTGGGTGGGCCGGGGGAGACGATGGGCTCTTGGAAATGTAGGTCTAGGATGGAGTCTAGGGATGGAGAGTTGAGAGTCACAGAATCATCACTGTCAACATCAAACTGCTACCACTTATTGAGCACCTACTGTGTGCCACGTGCTACGGGAAATAATTTAATTCTCACAACAAGCTACAGAGTCAGCAGGATTAGCTTCATTTAACAGATAAGAAAACTGAGGTTCAGAGACGTTAAGAAACTTGCCCAAGGTCAACCATCAGGGAAGAGGCAGATCTGGGACTGGGTATTTCCCCTATGGGCTTGCTCATCCACCTATCAGAGTGAAGTTACAATGGAAGACGAGGTTCTCAGACAAGAGGTGAGAAGATATTAGCCCGCGGGACACCTTTAGAGTTGCCACGAAGGCTCTGCATGAGCTAGTTCTCATTTCACCAACTGTTACTTATCAGCTCCCAGGGGGCTGCTCTAAAGACTCCCAACATAGAAGTCAAGGAAGACGTCCAGAAGTGCACAGGAAAACCATTAAAATGCGTCTGGAGAATGGAAGAGAGCACACATATGACTCGTAACTAGCACGGTTAGGGACCTTGTGGTCAGAATATAGGATCAAGGAGCTGTATGGAGACAGGAAAACCAAGATAGACTGGGTCATGAGAGGAGAGGACAAAGTTTCAGAAAGGATGGGGAGGAAGGCTGAGGATGGGATTTAGTGATTGAAGGTCATCAGTACCTTTCTGAGAGTCATTTCATTAGTCTGGTGGTAGCAGGAGGCAGCTGCAAGCCGTCAGGGCATACGGGGCGGGCCAGTGGTTCGGCACGTGCTCACGGACTGAGGCAGGGCGGGCAGACTGGTCCTCCTCTAGGTTTGGTGGAAAAATACAGAGATTGGGCTAGTGCCCCAGAGCAGGGGAGTCAAGCAGGGTCATGTTTCAGCCTGGGACATTAAGGAGGGTCTGTAGGCTGGTGGAAAGGAGTCAAAACCAGGGTAGAGGCTGGAAATGCAAGTAGGAGAGACTAGGGGATGAAGTAAACTTGCAAAGGAGGCCAGAGAGGGTGAAATCATCAGCCTGGGAGAGAAAAGTTACGGTCGGATTAGGAAGGTTTTAAGTTATTCAACAAATACTCATTGAAGATCTACTATGTACTCTAAGCACTGGGGATAGAGCAGTGAGCATGGCAGGCAAAGTCTACCTTCATACGGCTTACAGTCCAGTGGAGGACTTGATGGAACAGATTCAAGAATTTAAAATCTGGTTTTCTTCTCTCCTTGGGTGAAGCATGGACACCGGCTGGTAGTTCGGTGTAGGATAACGGCTCCTCAGTTATCTCAGCCAGCCTGTGCCTCTAGGTGGGATGACACCATGCCAGGGGGTGGACCTTTCACCATTTTGGAAACACTTCAGGCAATGAGATTTCATACCTTCCCTCTATTGCCAGTAGCATCTCATAATCGGAAGAGAAGCTCTTGGGCCAGGGGTTTCCCTAGACCTATGAGCAGGCCAGGGAGGAAGGAGATGTGAATTCCTGTCTGGGGTCAGCTGCTCATGGTGCTTGGGGAGGGGTAAATGGGAGGTGGAACTGGCAAAAAGGAGGCAGGTGAGCAGTCAGTTCCCCTCCCTCTCTACTCTTCCCCTTGGAGGACTTTCCTGCCTAAGCCAAGGCCGATTCTGGGCCTCAGGAGCTGCAATGCTCTCTTCCTTCTGCTGTGATTTCTGCAGAAGCAGGAGGAGAATGCATCAGAGGCAGATACCTGTGTTTCTCTGGGGCTCCTGGGTACATGAGGTCATACCTAGAGAAAAGCCCACAGGCAGCTGTCCAGTTGGCATGGCAGGCAGCGTTCTATATAACCCCTCCCCTGGAGTGTGGGCGAGACTAGTGAATATGATGGGTGTCACTGCTACGATTAAGTTACCAATCAGTTGACACTGAGTTAGTCAAAAGGGAGCTCATCCCGGCTGGCCTGAATGAATCAGGTGGACCCTTTAAAGGCAGCGAGGCCTCACACAGAGGCTCTCTTGTTGGCCTTGAAGGAGCAAACGACCGCGTTGTGAAGGGGACCAGGTGACACAGAACAGCAGGCAGCTTCTGGAAATTGAGGCCTCAGTCTTGAGTCTCCAGGAGCTGAAATCTGCCAACAGGAGTGAGCTTGAAAGGGGACCCCGACCCGTAGATGAAACTGCAGCCCTAGCTGACACCTTGATTTCAGCCTGGTGAGATCCCGAGCAGAGAACCCCGCTGAGCTGTGCCCAGACTGCTGGCCTCCAGAGCTGCGAGGAAACAAACGGTGTTGTTTTAAGTGGCTACATTTGTGGTAATTTGTTCTGCAGCAGGAGGTAACTAACGCACTTGGCATGCTTTAGAAGAGCGCCTTGGATGTCCCTGCAACACCAGGGCCGTGAGTCCCAGGAGAGCTTCCTGCCTCCTGCTTAAGGCCTTGCACCTTGTGAACTGCAAGTGCTTCTGGGAGGAGTCCTATAGGAAGACTCAGTGGCCTTCTAAACCTTAATATGAATACGTTCTCCAAGTCTCTTCAGAGAGACGCATTGGATATGGGGAGAGAGGTAGCATAACGCCACTAGGCTTGGGGATGGGAAAGGGCATTGGATGGTGAGACAGGAAGAGCCCAGGGCACACACTGAGGAGGTCCCGTTTACCTGGGCTTGTCCCTGGGCATTGGGATTGTATCTATGAGGTCTCCTGGGCTAGGAGGGTGTCTCTGCTGGTCCAGCTGTGGGGCACCCACAGGGAAGGGACAGAGGGGGCTGCCAGGGTAGTTGGGAAGTAGTCACTCCAGCTGCAGTCCCTGGGGGAGCGGGAAGCGCGGTGAAGTGTTCCTTGTATTGGGGGATGAAATTTGGCCTTTGTATCTGTACCCCTCCCCCCATGATCCTGGGAGAGGATGGAGGAGTGACGTTGTTCTTGCCTTGAGTTATTAATTTCAGCCACCTGTCCCGATTCTTAGTTCAGGAAGGCTACTCTGTGTAAGTGGAGTGTACGGCTGGGAATACATAGTTTCAGGGCCCAGGAATACTTTCTCACTTCCCAGGCTTCCCTAAGGATTGATGGAACCCACCACAGTGCTACCATTTTGTCCATCCCCTTCACACAGGCTTTGTCTGTTATTTAAGTGCAAAAATCTCTAGGAAGGAGCACTGCTAACTGTTACTGGTCATTCACACCTCGGGGGAATGTCTTTCTAGTCCTTTCCTGAGAGGTTTTTGATAAGAGAGAAAAAGTGAGAGCTTAGCAGCCCAAGGAGGAGAAAAGACCACAGATGGGGGACAGAGCTGAGAGGAGGGGAGGAAGGGCCTTGAAGGCAGACTGGCCAGTGCCAGAAGTTTTCCTGGGTTCACATCTGCCCAGATGAGGCAGTGCCGTCCCCACCCCGGGCCCTGCCAACCAGCCCCACCAAGCCCTGCCCTGGTTGTAACAGCTCCCATTGTTGGAAACAGAGGTGACTGGAATTGTGGAGCAGGGTAGCCTGGAGGGACTCCCCTTATTGAAACATCCATCCATCATCCATCTGTCTTTTTATGAAATTCACATTTATTGAGCTCTATCCTGTGCCAGCCCTTGGGCTGGATGCTGGGAACACAGAGATGATCCAACCCCAATCCCAACCCTTATGAGGCTCCCAGGAACAGGAAACTACCCCAATGCATGACATGAATGCTGAGAAAGAAAGCAGGCGTACAGGAGTAGTAGTGATGTTTTTTAGCCTTCCTATTTAATTTTCAATTTGCTATTATTTAAAAATACACACAAGGGCTTCCCTGGTGGCGCAGTGGTTGAGGGTCCGCCTGCCGATGCAGGGGACATGGGTTCGTGCCCCGGTCCGGGAGGATCCCACATGCCACGGAGCGGCTGGGCCCGTGGGCCATGGCTGCTGGGCCTGCGCATCCGGAGCCTGGGCTCCGGGGGAAGGGAGGGGAAGGGAAGGGCCCGCGCACAGCAAAAAAAAAAAAAAAAAAAAAAACACACGAAAGTAGAAAGAATAGTGTAATAAACTGCCATTTAACCACCACCCAGCCCTAACAAGTTTTATTAATATTGTTTCATCTAGCCCTCCCACTTCTTTTGATGGAGTATTTTAATACAAATTCAGGATGTCATGCATTTCAGCCATGAACTCCACCGTATGCATCTCTGATATGAACATTTGGAAATAACCGCCCCCTACCATTCGCACCTCGTCCGTCCCCTGCCCCTGGCGTCACCAATCCCGGAATCCAGTCCTACATCCCACACCTCTGGGAGCCTTGGCATCTCAGGCCATGACGTGCTAGGGTTTTCAGACATGAGCCCCTCAGTGCCCCGAAGCTGTGCCTTCCCGCGCCCCCACCGAAGTTTAGTAGCTCACCCCCTGCGCCAGCCGCCGCCGCCGCCGCCGCCGCCTTTCTCAGGACTGTCGCTCCCCTTCCCTGACCGCGCTCGCGCCTCTTTGTCTTCGCTGCAGATTGAAATGCTAGAACACAAGTACGGGGGCCACCTGGTGTCCCGGCGCGCCGCTTGCACCATCCAAACCGCCTTCCGCCAGTACCAGCTCAGCAAGAACTTCGAGAAGATCCGCAACTCGCTCCTGGAGAGCCGCCTGCCGCGGCGCATCTCCCTGCGCAAGGCACGCGCGCCCACGGCCGAGAGCCTGGCGGCCGAGAGGGCGCTCCTGGAGGGCTGCGGCCTCTCGGGGCTGCCGCTGGCGCGCTCGCCCTCCCTGCCGCCCACCATCGCGGGCACACTCACCGAACTGGAGGACTCCTTCACCGAGCAGGTGCAGTCCCTGGCCAAGTCCATCGACGACGCCCTCAGCACCTGGAGCCTCAAGACCGTGTGCTCCCTGCAGGAGAGCGGCGCTTACCAGGTCCACAGGGCCCTGCGCGCGGGCACGGGGCCGCCGGGCCTGGAGACCGAGGCACGGGAGCCCGAGGGCGCCCACTCGGGGGACTGGGCCGAGCCCACCGAGCCCGCCGGCCCGCCCCAGGGCCACGGCAGCACCCTCATGATGGCCTTCCGGGACGTCACCGTGCAGATCGCCAGCCGGAACATCTCCGTCTCCTCCTCCACGGCTCTGTCCGTGGCCAACTGCCTGGGCGCGCCGACGGCCTCAGCCCCTGCAGAGTCCGCGGCGGGCAAGGCCGAGCAGGACGAGGCCGGCGGGCAGGAGGCCCCGGAGGCCCCCAGCGCCGGCCAGGAGGACGTGCCCGCCGAGGACGCGAGCGCAGAGGCGGGACCCGACGGGGCCCTGCGCGCCAGCCCGCCGGGGGCCGCGGTGCCGGCGGCGGAGGAGGAGGAAGACGGAGAGGAGGAGGCCGAGGAGGCGGGGAAAGGGGCGGAGGCCGAGGCCGGCGACAGCTCGGAGCAGCTGAGCAGCAGCAGCGCGTCCGCCAAATCGGCAGCGTCGGCCTCGGCCTCCAAGGAGGCCCTGCAGGCCATGATCCTGAGCCTGCCGCGCTACCACTGCGAGAACCCGGCCAGCTGCAAGTCTCCCACGCTCTCCACCGACACCCTGCGCAAGCGGCTCTACCGCATCGGCCTCAACCTCTTCAACATGTAAGTTCCAGGAGGTGCGGGGCAGAGGCTGCACTTACGGGTGAGCAGCGGGCCCGGGAATGGACCGAATCGTCCCAGGGTCCTCCCAGGTGGCCTCTGGGCCACGCCTGATCCTTGAGATAGTGTGGGAATACTCATTTTATTTTTATTTATTTATTTTTTTTGCGGTACGCGGGCCTCTCACTGTTGTGGCTTCTCCCGTTGCGGAGCACAGGCTCCGGACGCGCAGGCTCAGCGGCCATGGCTCATGGGCCCAGCCGCTCCGCGGCCTGTGGGATCTTCCCGGACCGGGGCACGAACCCGTGTCCCCTGCATCGGCAGGCGGACTCTCAACCACTGCGCCACCGGGGAAGCCCCTCATTTTATTTTTAATTGATAAGAATTTATGTTAAAGATTAGGGTTAAAACATGCTTTAACCACTAGTACTGCTAGATGAAGCTAGGCTTTGAAAAGTGAGAAAATTTCAGAGAAAATGCACTGTTAAGTAAATAATAGTACAAGTAGTATAAGGCTTGGGCAGAAAGCATTCGGGTAGGACATGAAGTTAAGAAAACCGGGAATATCAATTTCATGGGGTTGATGACACGGAGAGAAGAGGCAGTGACCAAAAGAGGAAAGGGTGGGGGGAGCAGAGACCTGGCGCAAGGAATGGGGGTGCGCGGGGCGGATAGGAGGGGAGTGTCAAGCAAGCAGAGGTGAAGCAGAAGAAAACAGGGGCATGGGAGCGGAGAAATGAACAACCACCATAGCTCAGAGCCCCCAGCCAGAGCTTACTTGCAACCAAGAAGTATACAGCTGGTGGCAAGCAGAGGAAACACACCTGCCCGTCCTGTGGAGATTTCAAGTACATGAGGCACTCGTCTCCACCCTCCACTCACCCCTTCCTTCATAGCCCTGAGCCGGGAAACACGGCATCCCTCCTGCCTAATCAATGAGGACTGAGCAGAAACCATTCACCTGTGTGTTCATTTACTCATTCAGAAGTTATGTTTGGAGTGCTTGGCACGGAAACCACAAAGACGAGGAAGACACATCCCCCGGTCTCAAGCAGCTTCTATTCTAGGGGGAATAGCTACCGTTCATAGCTCACCTGACATAAAACATTTGCAGATTTCCTAACAAGTTCTAGAGAGAGCATCATTACGCCATTTTACAGACCAGGAAACAGGCTCACACAGGTGAGCTGAGCCCTGTGAAACAGCTAGTAAGCGGCAGAGCTGGGTGAAGTCAGACCTGTGTGACTCCCATCGCTGCTCCGTGTACCTCAGGCTGCCACCCTGGTGAGCACAGCCCTACCCTCGCTTCTGCACACACACACGTACCTGGATCCCACAAGACAGTGGTTCTCAAATTATCTATAGTGAAGGACCAGTTTGGGTTTTTACCCAATATGTTGTGGGCTGACACTTCTGTAAAATACAATTAAAATGAGTTGCTAGAAAAACAGTCACATGCTTGGTTGTCCTGAAAATGTCAACGTGTTATAAAAGGGTCTAAAGGCTTAGCCTCTATTTCTGTACTTATCTTCTCCTGGACCGGTAAGCTTCAGCTCAGGGAGCAGCATGGATTTGCAGACCAAGCTGGGAGCACATGTGCCTTAAGACACAGCACTCACACCCACACCCACACACAGACTCAAGCCTGGGAAAGTCAACCCTGAAGAGCAGGGTCTTTCTTGTGTCTGCCACACACAGGGAAGAGGGGTGTGGTAGGAGATCCCACCTCCATTTCCCAGTCTCCCCTGTCCTCCCGGTTCGAGCGTGGGTCCTGAGCGTAGACAGCAGGATACAGGTGGGAGGAAGGGCTTGGGGACCTCAGGGTCAGATCCAGTGGGACTGAGGCAGGAAGACGGAAGGGACACCTCTCCACCTGCTCTGGAATCTACTTGTCCAGACCTCCCCAGTCCCGCACCATCTTCACTCCTGTGCAGGGAGGTTCAGGAGAACGTGGCGAGAGGGGCTTTTTAAGGGGAGCCCCTCTGCAGTGGAAGGAATGCTGACATTTCCTGGGAATTCTGCCCAAGGACCTCCAGGCACTTTTGTGGGTTCCCTAGGCAGGAAGAAAGGGAGGAAAGGCGTCATGGGGAGACTTGCCTCACTCTCTACCCCTCCTCCCCTCCCCACCCCACCCCCAGAAACCCGGACAAGGGCATCCAGTTCCTGATCTCTCGAGGCTTCATCCCCGACACCCCCATTGGAGTGGCCCACTTCCTGCTCCAGCGTAAGGGCCTGAGCCGCCAGATGATCGGAGAGTTCCTGGGCAACAGCAAGAAGCAGTTCAACCGCGACGTGCTCGAGTGAGTGCCCCGCCTCGGGCTCCTCCCCGCCCTCCTGGCCCACCCTCCCGGATCTCCTGGGCGGCCTGGGACCTCAGCTGGGGAAGGCCACGGGGAGGACAGGACCTCTAAAGTCTGGGTGGATTCCCAGAAGTTCTGGCTCCAGTCCTGGTGGCTTCCTGATTGGTCCAGGAGCCAGAATCCCCATGGTCCTTAGCCAATCACCTGCCTCCCCTCCTGTCATTCTGCCGCTTACTGAGCCAAGGTTCTCCTCCGCGTAGGCATTGTAGGCACTGTGGATGGGGACGCGGCTGGCGCTGGGGACGCACGTGGCTGAGGCTGGCACAGAAATGGTCAAGGGAGACCAAAAGGCATGAGAGTGAGCCTGAAAATAGAAGGCCGTCAGCTCTGGGGCCATCTCCGCCTGGGGGACCGGCCCTTCAGCACCCTCCCCTGGCACCCGTCCAGCCCCCAGACCCTGAGTGTCCGCTTTATATCGTGGGGGAAACATGAGGCAGAAAAAGCAGGGGTTAGACTGAGGGGTTTTAGAGCCAGAAAGTACTATGATTCCATAAAGGTAGACTGACCACCAAGGTTGAAGTCCAGGAGGTGGGGGATTTGGCGGTGAGGGGGCTGCTTTTGCTATAGCGCTCTGCTTCGTGGGTGTGGTGCCATGGATAGGTAGGCGAGCCCCAGGGCAGGAGGAGCATTCCCTGGGGTGGAGGGGCAGGGCCTTGGAGCCCCCTCTTCTCTGGCAGAGAGGGGGCGAGGCTCCATGAAGTCTGCTCCGGACCCGTCTCTCCCCACGCCTCTCCTGATGCCCCTCCTCTCTTCTGCTGGGCACCCCTAAGCTCACTTCCTTCTCGAAGGTCACCATTCTGTAAGGATCCCTCCCCACTTCTCTCCCCACCCCCTTCTCCTTGGGTACAGTCTGCCGAAGTGTTTCCCCAGGAGTCCTGGGAGAACCTCGTCCTATTGTACTTGCTCTTGAAGCAGCAAGGGCCTGATACAGAGGGCTGGGGGCTCCTGCTTCAGGGCTTAGAAGCACGGAGTCCCTGTCAGTGTCCCCTGGGTGGGACTCAGACACCTGGCTTCTCTTTATGGAGCAGCCCCGCTGCTGTGTCTCCGGACAGTCACTGCTCTCTGGGCCTGCATTTCCGTGCATGGAGGTGGGAGGGGTTGGGTTAGGAGGGGAGATCTGCTGTGCTCGGGAATCCCTGTCACATTCCTAAATTCATGATGGGATAGCTGTTACCTGAGTGCAGTCAGAAGAGAGGGGGCTTGGACCCATTCAAGGGACCGTGAAATCCCTGATGGCCCTTAGTTGACGGAAGCCAGCTCCTGCCTCTGACTCTTGGGGGCGTTGGGCAATCAGCTGTTCCTCCCAGAGCTGGTGTTCTGAGTGCCTAAACCCCTAAATGGACAGCATTTCTCTACCTTCCTCCTCTCCCTCTGGCTCCCCTTCCCCATCCCACCACCCCTGCGGTGTGGGTGCCCTGAGGGGAGGCCTTGAGGAAATGGCAGAAGAGGAGAAGGATCGAGTGCCCCGTCTCCTTCCTTTCCTGTTTTCCTCTGTCTGGTTCATCTGTCCGGCATGAACTTTTCATTGGCCTTTGTCCCCTTTCCACTGACGAAGGAGTAGAGTTGCCGCGCCCGATGGCTTCATTCCTTTCCGCTGCCCCACACCCCCTGGGTGAGCCGGCTTTGTCCGTCTGCTCTGGGGCAGGGGTGACTGCTTCACCCCCAGGCCCTGACTGCCTCGCCTGTTCTCTTCTGCCTTTCCGGACCCCATGCGGCCTGGCCCCGGAATCCGGACCTGCTAGGCCCCAGTCGATCTGTAGCTCTGGGAACACGGTGTTTCTGCAGCCCGGGGTGTGCTGAGCATCGCAACGGAGACTAGTTCCCAACCCCCCCGGGCGACCGTGGGGGCGGGAGGTGCAGGCCAGCCGCTGCCGCCTGTGCCGAGAGGCGGGGTGGGCTGGGGTCTAGGGCTCGCGGCTCAGCGGGCTCAGGCTTGGATGAGAAGGCAGTGTGGGGGCAGGAGAGGTGGCTGGACCCGGGAGTCCGGCTCTGGCCCCTGCTCTGCTCCTGACACGCTCTGGAACGTTTGCAAGTCACTTCTCCAGGCTTCCTCGTCTGCAGAGAGAGAGGGTTGAGCTGTGTGATCTCAGAGGTCCCTCCAGCGCCGGTGAATGTATCGTCTTTCCTAATCCTTAGTGCGTTTGTAGCACCCTGGCGTCATGCAAAATCATTTGCCCTGAACAAGCTTTGTCATCCTGCCAGAGCAGCCCTCAGGCTCCAGGACGGGGCTGGGGTGCCAGCGTTCACGGGGGAACGAGATGGCCATTCACCACTCATTCAGCAAATATTGAGTGCCTACTGTATGCTGGGAATAGGGCTGCACTGGGCATCCCACGTGTGTACGTGTCGGGGCGGGGTGCGCGGGGAGAGGAACAGGCCTGGCTCGTGGCCTCTGGGAAGTTATAGACCCAGGTCTCAAAGGGGAGAGATGCGAGGAGGAACGTGGAAAGAGACGTGAGGGGCCCTCGAGCCTCCAGTGGGCACTGGGGCTTAGGGGGCGTTGAGTACAGAGCTGAGCCCCAATTCTGCCACAGTGAACGCCTCAGTCCCTCGTGCTGTGTTCTGCAGCCATGCAGGCCCCGGGCTCTGAGGCCCCAGCAGACGGCCTGCGCGTGGCAGCTCCATGGAAAGGAGCCCTCCTCCCCCAGGTCTGCAGCGCGCCGACGGCCTGGTCTGTCTGCTGTGAGGTGCCTGGAGAGGATGAAGAAGCAGGAAGAGACAGGCACTGGCAGGGCAGCAAGACGCTGGGGTTTTTGGTATCTCCCTGCCACTCAAGCCAGCTCTCTCGGAACCTTTCAGGATCCACTGCCTCTTCCTAACTCCCACCAGAGAAAGCACACAGTGACAGTCACCCAGTGCCGTGTGTCCAGGCCGGGAAGGCTTCACTGGGATTCTGCACATGCCCCCGCCGGTGACATTCAGCCTGTCGTATCCATTCTGTACAAAGCTGTTTGCTGAATAAAAGACATAAATCACCCATCCCCTTGGAGACTGAGACAGCCCAATCCACCGCTCTCTCCAAGATGCAGCCAGATGGGAAGGGGAGAAGCTGAAAGTCTCTGGGAGGGGAAGGGATGGGGCCCTCCCCCCACTCCTGGGCCTGGGGGGACAGGAAGAGAGGAGGAGCTGGGCCAAGCAGAATCTGTCCCAGCCACTGATTCACCTCTGAGCATCACAGATGCGGTGATGCCATTTGCCTCCGGGGTCAGGCCCTCGGTGCTCTGGGAAGCTGACCTCTCTATCCCTTTGTGTCCTGGTTCCATGGATGCCCCATTCCAAGAAAGAATGTATCCAACCAGCCTTTATCAAATGATAATATGAGGCATTCTGAGCTCAAAGGGCCATGTCCATTCCAGTGCTGACCTGGGAAGGTGTTGTGTTTTGGTCGTTGGCGTTTGTTTTTTTAGGAGAAACCAGCCTCAGTTTCCTCATTTGTCAAATGGGGATAATAGAACCGGTCATATGAATTAACTTTTTAAAGCGCATATGAAGCGCTTAACTCAGTGCCTGAGGCTTAGTGGGCATTAGACCCCTCCCGCCTCCCCTTCCCCGCGGCTCCCTCCCCCAACACAGGGAAACCTCCCACTCCTCAGGGCTGGTCTGAGACAGAGTTCCGTGCTGGGGAAGGGAGGGGACCACCGCGAGCTTCGAGGAAGTCCTCCCCTGGCGCTGAGGGGGAAGGGCAGTGGGAGACAAAGGGCAGGGAGATCAGGATTCTCTGGGGCTGCAAGCGTCTCGCTCTCAGTTTTCACGTGGCTGGGAAATTTGCCTCTGCTCTATTTCCTTTCTGAAATGTGCGCTTCAGCAGGTTTGAAGGCCAGCGGATGGGGAAACGTTGTGTGCTGGCTGTGAGCAGTCTCTTTCCGGCCCGGGTGACCTTCACACCCGCGGAGGGCATCTGTCGTTTCCAAGGAAACGCAGGAAGGGCAGCTTTGGGGTTGAGTAGCCAGAAGAAAGTTTCCCGGGCGTTCCTTCTCTCACTGTGTCCCCTCCGTTCTTTGTTAGATATTAGAGTCTGACGTTTTAGTCGGATTTCATCATTTCATTTCCATGGAAATGTTTTGGCCAGAGTGCAACAGATTTGCTCTTCTTAGGGGACATTCAGAAATGAAGACAGATTGTCTGTCAAACTCCGTAGGCTGGAAGGCTCTGGCCTCTCCTCACTAGGAAGGAATGGTTTGAGCAGGTCCTGCGTGTCGTCTGTGTGTAGCCTCGGAACGGTTGCCTTGCTCCTGAGGAGATCCACGGGGCAGGGGAGAGCGGGCTGGGGCCCAGGCCCACTCTGACGGGTCTGGTGGAGGGTGGAGAGAGGCTGGGGCAGGCAGGGATAGAAGACTTTGGGGGCTATTTCCACTGTTCTGAAAACTTGATGCTGCCTCCCACTCAGAGGAATGGAAGGAGGGGGTCTCTTCTAACTGTGCTGTCTTTGGGTTTTATGACCTTGACCCCTCACCTCTCCAGTGCCCTTTCCCCTATCCCCACCACCGCACACACACACACAGACACACACACACACACACGCACGCGCGCGCGTGCGCGCTCACACACACAGAGATGAGAGATTCTACTTAACAGGAAAGAGTCATTGGCATTTAAAAGAATCATTTGCTCCTGTACGTGGAGATCTTGGAACCCCAGAGTGGGGTGAAAAAGTCCAGAGTTGAGACTCTCTTTGGCTTTGTCACAGATGCATAGAAATTGGGCTTTTACACAAAAATGAACATACCCACCACCCATTCCCCTCCTGAGTACCCAGGGCCCAGCTCTGGAGAGGTGTCTCTGGATCCTGTGTGATGTTCAGGTGTGGCTGAAACTGGCCGCTCTTTGCAGTGGGACTTCCTGGGAGTCACTCCCCGCGGGTTTCTCAGGAGGGCCATCTGTGAGCGAGCAGGCAGCTCACACATGTCCAGCGTGTATCGTGTGCCAGCAGGAACGGTTCT